TTATTATTATTATTATTATTATTGTTATTATTATTATTATTATTATTATTTCATTAATATTATTATTATTATTATCATTAATATTATTATTATTATTATCATTAATATTATTATTATTATTATCATTAATATTATTATTATTATTATCATTAATATTATTATTATTAATTATTTTATTTTATTATCACACTGGCCGATTCCCACCAAGGCAGGGTGGCCCGAAAAAGAAAAACTTTCACCATCATTCGCTCCATCACTGTCTTGCCAGAAGGGTGCTTTACACTACAGTTTTTAAACTGCAACATTAACACCCCTCCTTCAGAGTGCAGGCACTGTACTTCCCATCTCCAGGACTCAAGTCCGGCCTGCCGGTTTCCCTGAATCCCTTCATAAATGTTACTTTGCTCACACTCCAACAGCACGTCAAGTATTAAAAACCATTTGTCTCCATTCACTCCTATCAAACACGCTCACGCATGCCTGCTGAAGTCCAAGCCCCTCGCACACAAAACCTCCTTTACCCCTTCCCTCCAACCCTTCCTAGGCCGACCCCTACCCCGCCTTCCTTCCACTACAGACTGATACACTCTTGAAGTCATTCTGTTTCGCTCCATTCTCTCTACATGTCCGAACCACCTCAACAACCCTTCCTCAGCCCTCTGGACAACAGTTTTGGTAATCCCGCACCTCCTCCTAACTTCCAAACTACGAATTCTCTGCATTATATTCACACCACACATTGCCCTCAGACATGACATCTCCACTGCCTCCAGCCTTCTCCTCGCTGCAACATTCATCACCCACGCTTCACACCCATATAAGAGCGTTGGTAAAACTATACTCTCATACATTCCCTCTTTGCCTCCAAGGACAAAGTTCTTTGTCTCCACAGACTCCTAAGTGCACCACTCACTCTTTTTCCCTCATCAATTCTATGATTCACCTCATCTTTCATAGACCCATCCGCTGACACGTCCACTCCCAAATATCTGAATACATTCACCTCCTCCATACTCTCTCCCTCCAATCTGATATTCAATCTTTCATCACCTAATCTTTTTGTTATCCTCATAACCTTACTCTTTCCTGTATTCACCTTTAATTTTCTTCTTTTGCACACCCTACCAAATTCTTCCACCAATCTCTGCAGCTTCTCTTCAGAATCTCCCAAGAGCACAGTGTCATCAGCAAAGAGCAGCTGTGACAACTCCCACTTTGTGTGTGATTCTTTATCTTTTAACTCCACGCCTCTTGCCAAGACCCTCGCATTTACTTCTCTTACAACCCCATCTATAAATATATTAAACAACCACGGTGACATCACACATCCTTGTCTAAGGCCTACTTTTACTGGGAAAAAATTTCCCTCTTTCCTACATACTCTAACTTGAGCCTCACTATCCTCGTAAAAACTCTTCACTGCTTTCAGTAACCTACCTCCTACACCATACACTTGCAACATCTGCCACATTGCCCCCCTATCCACCCTGTCATACGCCTTTTCCAAATCCATAAATGCCACAAAGACCTCTTTAGCCTTATCTAAATACTGTTCACTTATATTATTAATATTATTATTAATATTATTATTATTATTATTATTATTATTATTATTATTATTATTATTATTATTAATATTATTATTATTATTATTATTATTAATATTATTATTATTATTATTATTATTATTATTATTATTATCATTAATATTATTATTATTATTATTATCATTAATATTATTATTATTATCATTAATGTTATTATTTATTATTATTATTATTATTATTATTATTTATTATTATTATTATTATTATTATCATTAATATTATTAATATTATTATTATCATTAATATTATTATTATTATCATTATTATCATTATTATTATTATTATTATTATTATTATTATTATTATATTAATATTATTATTATTATCATTATTATCATTAATATTATTATTATTATTATTATTATTATTATCATTAATATTATTATTAATATTATTATTATTATTATTATTATTATTTATTATCATTAATATTATTATTATTATTATTATTATTATTATTATTATTATTATTATTATTAATATTATTATTATTATTATTATTACCCATAAAATCAAGGAAATATAAATGAGACATTATTTTTATTTATTATTCTTTTATGTAAAAATACAGAAGAGAAGAATTTTTAAAAAATACAGTTCAGTATTACCGGAGAAATATTGACTAGATCTGTCAGCCTGCAGGGGAGGGGGGTTTGTGGGGGTTTGTGGGGGTTTGTGGGGGTTTGTGGGGGTTTATGGGGGTTTGTGGGGTTTGTGGGGGTTTCTGGGGTTTTGTGGGGGGGTTTTCTGGGGTTTGTGGGGGTTTCTGGGGGTTTTCTGGGGTTTATGAGGGGTTTCTGGGGTTTGTGGGGGTTTTCTGGGGTTTGTGGGGGCTTTCTGGGGTTTGTGGGGGTTTTCTGGGGTTTGTGGGGGTTTTCTGGGGTTTCTGGGGGTTTTCTGGGGCTTGTGGGGGTTTTCTGGGGTTTGTGGTTTTTTTTTCTGATGCTTATGGTTTTTTTTCCGGTTTTGTGGTGTTTATTTTCTGGTGTTCTTGGTGTTTTTCTATTGTTTGTCGGGGTTTATTTTTATTCTTGTAAATTGTGTGACAAGTTTAATGAGGTTTATAAATTTTAGTTGTGTTTTGTGAAGTTTTCAGAGGTTTAAAATAGTTGATTAAGGTTTAATAAGTTTTAGTAGAGATAAATAAGGTTTAGTAAAGTTGAATAAGGTTTAAGAAGATTTAGAGGGGAGGGAAAGAAATGAATGAGGGAGAGGTAGAGGGAGGGGGAAGGTGGAGAGGGGGAGGGGGAAGGCAGAGGGGGAAGGGGAGAGGGAGGGGGAAGGCGAAAGTGGGGGGGGAGGGAGGAAGGGGGGGGGAAAGAATAAAAAAAAACGAGACACTGAGAACATTTCTGGAACGAAAACAGTAATTGGAGAAAGTGCGTTGAGAAAGAAAACGGGAAGTAAAGGGAAAATTGTGTTGAGGAAGAAAACGGGAATTGTGGGAAATTATGTTAATTAAAAAAGAAAACGGGAAGTGGGGGAAATTGTGTTGAGAAAGAAAACGGGAAGTGTGGGAGATGTTTGTGATCAATAAGAAAACGGGAAATGAGAGAGATGATAACATCTCTTTCGAGATTAATTCCAGCATGAGAGAGTGAGAAAGAGAGAAAGAGAGAGAGAGATGAGAGGAGAGAGAGAGAGAGAGAGAGAGAGGAAAAGAGAGAGAGAGAGAGAGAGAGGAGGAGAGAGAGAGAAGAGAGGAGAGAGAGAGAGAGAGGAGAGAGAGAGAGAGAGTGAGAGAGAGAGAGAAGAGAGAGAGGGGAGAGAGAGAGAGAGAGAGGAGAGAGAGGCTCTGGTTCAGTGAACCTGGTGAAAAAGTGAAACAAAAAATTTAAAATTTGGTTTCCAGTGAACACAGCGTAACACAAGAGGAGAATGGAACAATTATATTAAATTTACCAACCATAACACTGTTTCTTTTTAAGATAAACTAAACAAAACAACACACACACACACACACCCCAACACACACACACACACCAACACACACACACACACACACACACACACACACACAACACATCGAAGGAATGGACAATAAGAGCGAATATAATTCAGGACTCAGAGTGACAATCAACAATAGCCTGACTATTGAGAACAACGGCTGCTATTCGCAGACGGAGGATCGATCCTTCACTACTTCTTGAAGTGATTGACCCACACGGGTTGGGAAGAATAAGTGGACTTAAGTGGGCTGCCAGAAGACTTAAGCTACAGAGGGAGGTCTAAAAATAAAGTGGCTACTGGAGTTCAATACCGTCACTACATTGATAGTACACAGGTTGGTGAGTGAGACACATGTGTAGCCCCTAGTGTTGTACATGTGTCTCATTCACCCACTATATGCCATTTTCAATCAGCACAGAGATTTGTTTACATACCAGAAAAGGAGGATATGTCTCATCCTAGGAATGAGAAATAACGTTAGATCAAAGCCCTAACGTTATTTCTCATTATTGTAAGACTGGCTAATGTAAATATGGAGAAATGTGAGATATTGTGCTTTTGCTGCTGCTCCCCCCACACCCGACGAAGCGGGTGTGGGTAGATGGAATGGAGTGGAGGGTGAGAGTTAGCGTGTATTTGTGGGTGGGTGTATGGGGGGGGGAGTGAGTGTTGTTTGGTTGGTGTAGGAAGGTGTGTGTGTGTGTGGGAGGGGGATTATGGTTGAGGTGCTTTGGGTAGGAATAGATTTTAGATTTTGCCACCAAAGCGGCTAGTTTATTGCGCACCCCATATCCATCCTGTGGCCGGTAGCGCAAGAGCATATGGATAGGAGTGGGCGTGGTCTTGTGTTTTAGTGGGCGAGTGGACGTGTGGGTGTTTGACTGGGTGTTGGTAGCTAGGTGAATGGGTGTGAGTGGCTGGATGGTCGTGGGTGGTTGTGGGCTTGAGGATGTGGATGGATAAGCATACGTGGGCAGGCAGAACCCGGAAACATTCTGTGCGTCTTGAGCAGCCTAGAGGAAGCCACCACAGTACCCTGGTCAGCAATAACTATCACTCTCTGGGGACCTAAACTTCCCGGGGAATACATGTTAGTCAGACCAACTCAGGCACTCAGCTACGATAGTTCATCTACTCGTGTGACAGCTGTCGGGGAGGTGAGTGGGAAAGGAGGAGAGGAGGGGAAGGAATATGCCATCATAGACCTTCAGAAGTTAAGGGATCGTGTTGTGGGGATATGGGGATGGGATGGTGTGGATATGGGGAAGGCTCTCCCTGTCGGAGCGGAAGCTAGTGTGTGTCTGTGTATGTTCGTGTGTGTGAGTGTCAAAGTTTGGCGACAGTTGGGGAGACGAGTGGTCGCTGCCGTCACGGCTTCCTTCCTTCCTCGTGTAATACTGAAACATATTCTCTGAGATATATATTTACTGTATATATAAAACAAAAAAAAATCTGAAGTTATGAAATACACTATGTTCAATCACTGGTGACTTACAACCAATGGGACGGTTAGTACTCTGTGATAATGTAAGCGAGACTCCTCCCTCACATGTAGGTGCTGAGGCTCTGATGTTCCTCGTAGTGAAAGGCTCCTGCAGGGATTGTAAGCAGGTCTCCTGTCACAGGAACCACTAACAGGCCTCCTGATGCAGGAACCACTAACAGGCCTCCTGATGCAGGAACCACTAGCAGGGCGTCCCCTGACGCACATAGGAAATACAAGTGACAACACTACCGTCATTTATCACATTCTACCAAAATATCTTTCTGGAACTTGTGTTACTTTTCTTGTTACAGCCAAGAATATCCCGAAGCCCCTATCACTGTTTCTGTTACAACTACAAACATCCTGGAGCATGTGTCACTGTTACTGCTATGAATATTATCCTTTCAAGGATGGACTAGTCACTAGACAAAGCACTCCTCTGTGTTGAGAGATGGGTCTGGCGGAGAATCGGTAAGACCCGTATACAAGTTTCTAGTGATCTCCTGGCCTTCGCCAGTGCCTCCGCCTGTAGAGGGCGCCGCTTGCTCAAACGACCTGCCGCTAGAACGGTCGCTAGAGCGGTCCGTGGAACAATCACTTAGTCTCTCACCTTTCGCATGTGACACCCGCAGGCTCTTTGTCCTTCGGAAGGTGTCCACGAGAGTGGGTTCGGTTGTAGGGTCGTGTGGGACCCCGGACTTGTCCACTACCTCCTCCATGGTGGTGGGTGGACATGTCTGACTCAGAGGTCGCCTCTTCTTCCGCTTACTGGAGCGGACAGTTCTCCTGATGGGCGCGTCGATGACGCTGTAGTGGTTGCTGCTGGGGGAGGGAGAGTGGGAGGGACCGTGGCGGGGACTAGTAAAAGGCTCCAGAGAAGTGTACGTGTGAAGGGAAGAGCTGTCGCCATCAACGTAGGTATAAGCGGCGTGTGAGTGGCGACGACAGGTACAGTGCGGGTCTTGACAATCCCGCCCCTGCATCACGATGTAGTCACACACAGGAGGAGAGTAACAGGGTCGAGGTGGCGGTGGTGCCTTGTACGTCGCGGGTGCCTCCGGCAGGTAGGCAGAGGTCCGCCGGTCGATCTCCGAGGGTGTTGTGAGACCCGTAGTGGAGGTGAGGACGGAGGAGGAGGAAGGGAGTGGCAGTGATGACGGAGGCACGAGGGACGGCAGCGTCGATGACTTGTAGGCGTTATCAGAGACGTACACTGGCAGGCCATTGTACGTCTGCCTCTGAGGCATCATCTCTGATAACTTCTTCCAAAAGTTTTTGTCGCCCCATCGCAGCTTTGAACATTTTCTTATCACTGCCTTTAAATCGGCATCAAAAGAAGAAAAGGAGACGTTATCGTAATATATTGCTATAATGTTCATGTCGTTCTCCTTCAGGCCGTCAATGTGAGCTTTCTTGAATATGGCGTTTTTCCATTCGTTGTCGACATAGTTCTTGGACAGAACTATGATGGTTCTTCTGCTAAAGTTGAGTGACTGAGTGATGAACTCTGAGAGATGGCTGTTCTCGCTGAAGTCTCTGGAGTGAAGACACAGCTTGTAGCTGGGACAGCTGTTCTCCAACTTGGTTGCGATAACATCACGAACGTAGGTAGCATCATTGGCACTGTAGCTGATATATGCGTCGAACACTTTCCCATCCTCCTCTTGGCAGTAGGGCGGAGGGTTGCTCATGCACAGTTTGTTGGCCGCGGCAGCCCGCCTGCGGGCCAACAACATGGCCACCATCACTAGGGCACTGATGAGGGCCACACCCCCGCACAGACCCCCAGCTAGGAAGGGCAGCTGCCGCTGGCCAAACTGATATTGCGTGACCCCTTGCTGACCCTTGGTGCAGGAATACTCTGGTAGGACTATACTGGGACCCACAGTGCCTGAGTCACTGTGCACACAGAACACTTCCTCGGGGTCGATCAGGAGCTGTGGTTGATGGCTCTCCCACTCCCTCAGGGACTCCACGAACTGACAGTCACAGTCCCATGGGTTGTTAGCCAGAGAGACACTCGCCAGGTAGCGGTTGTTACTCAACAGCCAGACTGGGAAGTCGATGATAAAGTTATTGTCCAGTCTCAACACCTCCAAGCTTCTCAGGCTCAGGAAAGTTGCATTGTTAACGAACGAGAGGCGATTATTCTGAAGGTAAAGTTCCTTAAGCCGATGGAGGCCGAAGAACTCGAAGCCGTTTAACTGGACGATCATGTTGTCCTGAAGATGAAGCACTCGCAAGGAGGTCAGTCCGTGAAAAGTGCGGTTCTGAAGCGTCTGAATTTGAGAATTATTGAGAAAGAGTTGCTGGATGCTGTGTCTGCCGATGAAGTGGTGAGCATGGAGCACCTGAAGATTGTTGCCATCAAGGAGCACTACTGTGGCATCCATTGGCACGCGGTCAGGGAGGCGATCCAGGCTCCCTCCGGAACAGTCCACTAGATTCATGGACCACGTGTCATCGTGAAAGCAGGAGCATGCTTCCGGGCACTTCATTTGACAATCACAAGCAATGAAATCACAGCAGTGGCAGAGGGCAAAGCAGTGGGTAGCATAGGGGCAGAGGTAGTTCTCAGGAGACGTGTCCAGGATGCGAGTGGTGACTGGTACACCACTGCGGGAGTGGGTCAAGGCACATGTCACCTGGGCCAGGTCATCAACACGAGGCTGAAGATATATAACATCAGTAGCCTCTGGTGTTGTGATGGATATCCCAGACGAACCGTACAGCCACTCCATCTCACAGTCACATAACAGTGGATTGCCAGCAAGCAATACCCGGGCATTGATGTGCTGGTCAATGGTCCCTCGAACACTAATTGACTTGGGATTGAGCCTCTGTATGGCATTCATCCGAAGATCTATCTCCTGCAGATAAGTTTTGTCCCGGAACGTATTAGGGAGAATACGACTAATGTTATTATGATGCAAAATTACCTTCCTGACAGTATTGGGAAGAGAGACTTCAGTAAGACGTCTGATGCTGTTGTAACTGGCATCAAGAACCTCTAGCGTCAAGACGCTCTGGACCTTGAAGAAATTGCCGAGCTGTTCAATTTTATTCTTTCTTAAATCAAGACTAAGGAGTTGTCTGGGGATGAAGGCATAGTCGAACATGCGGATGCTGTTCTCAGACACGTCGAGTTTCTCCAGGTGTTCCAAGCCAGCAAAGACACCGTTGATGTCACTAAGCTCGTTCCTTGCGAGCGCTACTTGCCTCACGCCGGGAACACCCTCGAAGGAGCCTTCACTAACCATCCTCAACTGATTATCCCTCAAGTCTAATAACTCCAGAGATGAGAGCCCAGCAAATGATCCCCGAGAGATGTCATTCATCTTATTGTGGCTTACATTCAGAATCTCCAGGTTTCCCAAGCCACCAAAAAGAAATGGCTGAATTTTAACGATGTCGTTCCTACTCATGTCCAAAGCCTTTAAGAAGGAAAGGTTCTCTAAAGCAGTGGGAATGGTCTGCAAGTGGTTATTTCCAAGGAACACCTCCTTGAGGTTGGAGCTGTGGCGGAGAGCTCGGGGGTGGATTTCTATAAGAGAATTGTTGCTCAGGTGAAGGAGACTCAGCCCCACCAGACCTCTAAGGCTGCCCTCACTCAGACTAAGGATCAGATTATGAGAGAGGTCGAGAGCGTAAAGGTTGGAGAGGGAGGTAAAGCTGTTGTCTTCGAGGCTTTGGATATCGTTATGGGAGAGATCGAGACGCTGAAGAGAAGTCAGGTCACGGAGGAGGAGCTGGGGAATAGTGGTCAGAGCATTGTACGATAGATCAAGTATGACCAGCCGATGCAGACCCTTGAACAAGTCTTCATGACTGTTGTCTAAATATAGTTTATTTTGGGAAATGTCTAACACCTGCAGTTCGTGCAGACCCTGAAACACACCCGGATTCATTGCACTGAGTGAGTTGTTGTTGAAGTAAACCTTCTCTAAAGCTACGTTGTCGAAGAAAGTGCCATTATGTAGCGCTATAATATGATTATTAGATAAATAGAGCACTTGTAAGGCTGCCATTCCACGGAAGGCTTCACTGGCTATAAGTCTGATATCATTATTACGAAGGTAAAGCTCTCTGAGGCCTCCCAGGGCGCGGAAGCTGCCGGGTGGAAGCCTCACAAGATCATTGTGATCAAGGACGAGCTCCTGAAGGGCGTTCCCACACCCATCTTCTGCCGCTCTTTCCTCGTTGACGTTAATGAACCCTGAAAAATGATCACTAAAACTGGTATTGGACATGTTGAGAGCGAGAGTGTCGAGCCACTGCTGGTCGGCGAACCCAAGCTCAAGCACATCCTGAAGGCGGTTGTGGGAGAGGTCGAGGAGGTGAAGGGCGGAGGGCCCGCAGAACGCCCTGGGCGGCAGCGTCCAGATGTTATTATGAGCCAGGGACACTCGTTCCAGGGGCGGCGGTAATGATCCCTCTACTACCTCCATGGCCAGCGCCGCCCACTCTCCGTTGTGGGTGGTGACCTCCAGCTGGCGAAGACGACTAAGGGCGCCCAGCGAACCCGGCGCCAGACTGTCCAGTTTACAACGACGGACGCTCAGCTGCTGCACGCCCTCCAGACCCTGTAATAACAAGGATAAGGTAAGAAGAGACGCTTCAGAAGATCCCTGGAATACAGAGGAAAGGGTGAAAGTGAAGTCTCCGAAAGGCTCCTGGAACACAAAGGAAAAGGTACGGATTGAGGCTCCAGAAAGTTCTAAAACCCTAAGTCAAGGTTGGGGCCCACAGGTCCTGAATTTCCAAAGGCACAAGGTGAGGATTGAACTCATGGGGCGGGGCTGGGTAACGAAGGACAAAGTGGAGGACTGAGGCTTCAGAAGGTCCTGGAACAAGGACAAGGTAAGAGTTGAGGCTCCAGAGATCTGGAGTGCGTGTATATTCATAACTTGTATCGTTGCGAAACCTCACCTTTGTATAGTTGTGTATACACATGTAATAAACCCTCATTAACTAGCTGTTGCCTGCTGCTATGCAACAGCAGCAGTAGAAAACAATGCGATGTATTTAATTTTTGAAGGGTTTCGCCACCACAGACTTTATGCTTTAAATAAACCGCATATATATTGTGGTTTATTAACCAGGTTCTCGGTGGATAGACATATCTCCAGGCTGAGGGACTGACCACCTCAATACCGCTTCTTCAAGACTAAAGGACTGACCACACCATTTTTACCTCTGTTTCTGCTGTCTCCTTATATCCCACCACTGTACTCGACTGAAGAAGCCTACCGTGTAGGCGAAACGTTTCGTAATAAAGATACTAAACTCTCGATAACTCTTAGTTATCGCTTAGTCGAATTATTAAAGCAGAGGAGTCTGAGTTTATAGGATACGGGGATTTATTTATCGGATCTCTCAGCGACATATCCCTAGTGATAGATAGATAAATAGATAGAGATAGATAGAGAGAGAGAGAGAGAGAAAGAGAGAGAGAGAGAGAGAGAGAGAGAGAGAGAGAGAGAGAGAGAGAGAGAGAGAGAGAGAGAGAGAGAGAGAGAGAGAGAGAGCACTAAGAGCATGACTATAAATAAGAGATAATAACATCTACACAACATGGGACATCTGGAAATTTATCCACAAAAATCGTGCACTTTACGACGTTCCTCAGCGGTTCGGCCATACAAGTTTGACCATTATCTGCGCTCCAGAGGTGATGGCAGACTATACCCGAGTATAGCAATGGTGCCATAGGCGATAGGAGATTGTAGCTAATGGTACCAATGGTGAAGAATCAGATACATGTGCAGCATCTGGGTATTTTCGAAAAGGGGTTGGGCAAATATGTTTGTTATTGGTTTTGGGTTTGAGAAGAACCTACCTAGTATGGGCCAGTAGGCCTGCTGCAGTGCTCCTCCTTTCTTTTCTTCATTTGCAGACGTTTATTGTAGACATGGCTAAAAAGCCACTGGATGGCGAGACGTCTACATATAAAGATACCCAGATGTTATACGGTGTATGACAGTGTATGACCCCTACGGGTTTAGAGCTATTCCATTACCACGATACAGTGAGAATCTGCCCTTCGCATGATTTTAGACATTCCAGCCATTAAAATTCCTGAAGACCATTGAATGTTCACTGTCCGAATTTTTGGGAGTCGTTTGTTTGATTACTGGGGCCCTTGTCATCGTTTGCTTACCCAATCTGTACCCTTTTTGCAGGGGTTAAAATTAACGATGTTTAACACACGTTAAACGTTTTCAACATTCAGCTGAGGTGCGTCTGAAGGATGGGGGATGTTACAGCTTTAAATTGTAGTTGTGGTTGTGTTGTAGTTGTGGTAGTGTTGTTTTGTTGTGTAGTGTTGTAGTTTTGGTAGTGTTGTAGTTGTGGCAGTGTTGTAGTTGTGGGAGTGTTGTAGTTGTGGTAGTGTTGTAGTTGTGGTAGTGTTGTAGTTGTGTAGTGTTGTAGTTGTGGTAGTGTTGTAGTTGTGGTAGTGTTGTAGTTGTAGTAGAGTTGTAGTTGTGGTAGTGTTGTAGTTGTGGTAGTGTTGTAGTTGTGGTAGTGTTGTAGTTGTGGTAGTGTTGTAGTTGTGGTAGTGTTGTAGTTGTGGTAGTGTTGTAGTTGTGGTAGTGTTGTAGTTGTGGTAGTGTTGTAGTTGTGGTAGTGTTGTAGTTGTGGTAGTGTTGTAGTTGTGGTAGTGTTGTAGTTGTGGTAGTGTTGTAGTTGTGGTAGTGTTGTAGTTTGTGTAGTGTTGTTGTAGTTGTGGTAGTGTTGTAGTTGTGGTAGTGTTGTAGTTGTGGTAGTGTTGTAGTTGTGGTAGTGTTGTAGTTGTAGTTAGAGTTGTAGTTGTGGTAGTGTTGTAGTTGTGGTAGTGTTGTAGTTGTGGTAGTGTTGTAGTTGTGGTAGTGTTGTAGTTGTAGTAGAGTTGTAGTTGTGGTAGGTCATCTGGTCATCTTGTAACCAGTGACCCAGGTTACCTGGTCATCTTGTAACCAGTAACCCAGGTCACCTGGTCACCTTGTAACCAGTGACCCAGGTTACCCGGTCATCTTGTAACCAGTAACCCAGGTCACCTGGTCATCTTGTAACCAGTAACCCAAGTCACCTGGTCATCTTGTAACCAGTAACCCAGGTCACCTGGTCATCTTGTAACCAGTAACCCAAGTCACCTGGTCATCTTGCAACCAGTAACCAGGTCACCTGATCATCGTATAAGCAGTGATCAAGGTCACCTGGTCATCTTGGAGCCAGGTCACTTGGTCATCTTGCAACCATTGAGCCAGGTCACCTGGTCATCTTGGAGCCAGGTCACTTGGTCATCTTGCAACCATTGAGCCAGGTCACCTGGTCATCTTGGAGCCAGGTCACTTGGTCACGTTATTCAAAATAATCCAACTCGATAATAAAGGCCACGCAAACGAGCCGGTTCATTTAGTCAGCTCGTTAATGAGGCAGAGAGAGAGAGGAGAGAGAAGAGAGAGAGGAGAGAGAGAGAGAGAGGAGAGAGAGCGAGAGAGAGAGAGAGAGAGAGAGAGAGAGAGGAGAGGAGAGAGAGAGAGAGAGAGAGAGAGAGGAGAGAGAGAGAAGGAGAGAGAGGAGAGAGAGAGAGCACGTCTCCAGGAGACATAAAGATCCTGGGCGGCGTCATTATACTTAATGAAGTTATTAGAGTTATTTTAGTTATTATTGTTATTATTAGTATTGTAATTGTTATTGTTACATCCACTGTCATTGTTTTAATGGTGCGATTATCTTATCTAAATTATCATTGGCACTCTAAATTATTATTATTATTATTATTATTATTATTATTATTATTATTATTATTATTATTATTATTATTATTATTATTATTATTATTATCGTTATTATAGTGCAAGAAAGGTATAAAATACAGACAATATGAAAGTTAAGACACTTGTGCAACATCTGGGTCTCTTTATTGTAGACGTTTCGCCATCCAGTGGCCTTATCAATACAAATTCTAGGACATAATTAGAAGACAGAAGAACTATGTGCAAAAGATGAGGTAATCAGTCCCTCAGCCTTGGAGTTAGTGTTCACAGCATCGTGGTGGAGGAGAATCTGGAGCAAAGGTAAGGAGACTGGCGGTTATATAGGCGTCAGTGGATAAGGACGTGTAGCAGACGAGGGCATAGTCACTGGTAGGCGGGATTCCTCAGTGGAAGTAGGTCCTACCCATAGGGATGGGTTAATTGTCGTAGTCGTGAAGGTTATGTACATGTCCTCAGAATCAAGATTCCTTGATACTGCAGTGTCTGACAAGTTGTGCAAGAATGGTATATAATACCGACAAAATAAAACTAAGACACTTGTGCAACATCTGGGTATCTTTATTGTAGACGTTTCGCCATCCAGTGGCTTTATCAATACAAATTCTAGGACATAACTTGAAGACAGTAGAACTATGTACAGAAGATGAGGTAATCAGTCCCTCAACCTCGGAGTTGGTGTGACGAGCACCGTAGTCGTGGAGGTTCTGAAGCAGAAGCAAGGCGCCTGACGCTTATATACTAACGTCAGGTGTAGCAGACGAGGGCATAGCAGGTTGAGGGACTGATTACCTCATCTTCTGTACATAGTTCTACTGTCTTCAAGTTATGTCCTGGAATTTGTATTGATAAAGCCACTGGATGGCGAAACGTCTACAATAAAGATACCCAGATGTTGCACATGTGTCTTAATTTCATTATTATTATTATTATTATTATTATTATTTATTATTATTATTATTATTATTATTATTATTATTATTATTATTACAAAAAATAAACCACGTTACCCCAAATCAAGTCTCTCTCTCTCTCTCTCTCTCTCTCTCTCTCTCTCTCTCTCTCTCTCTCTCTCTCTCTCTCTCTCTCTCTCTCTCTCTCTCTCTCTCTCTCTCTACTCTCTCTCTCTCTCTCTCTCTCTCTCTCTAATAGGGAGTATTTGATAGACTTCACACAAAAGAAAAATGAACTAGCAAAGGGAAAGGGGAGGACAGTGGCACTAAGGAGAGCTTCCACCCTTATTGCACAGGGAGAAAGAGAGAGAGAGAGAGTATTGGCAAGCCTCCAGCTATACTCTGGCTAGCTCTATACTGGAGTGGTCTATTCTCCGTGGTGTCGGCACGATAGACAATAGACATCACGCCGGTTAACGTGCCAGTGTCGTGGAGGGCAGAGGGAGAGGGAAAAGAGGGGAGGGAGGGAAGGGAGAGGGAAAAAGAGAGAAGGGAGGGAAGGGAGAGGGGAAAGGAATGAAGGGGAATAACTACGTAATAATTAAATAATAATATAATATATAATAATAATATATATAATATAATTCTACAAGTACATGATACAACTTATACAGACCATAGCTGACATCAATGACATACTACTATATAGAAAGTCCCTTGTTATGCTGAGCATTTCCCGCAAATTAGGCCAATTTTGTCCCAGAATGCGACCCACACCAGTCAACTAACACCCAGGTACCCATTTTACTGATGGGGAACAGACAACCGGTGCAAGGAAACATTCCCGTTGTTTCTACCCTCGCCGGGAATCGAACCCGGACTCTCGCTGTGTGAAACGAGAGCTTTAGTTGCCAGGCCACGGACCACCGTAAGTATATATTGTTACCTACAACAATGATGCTAATAATTGTTGAGAGAAATATTAGTAGTAACACCAGCTGTTGTTAAGTTGGTATTACACCAGCTGTTATTAAGGTGGTGTTATTACACCAGCTGTTATCAAGGTGTTAACACACACACACACACACAGTGTTCGCAACAACGGATTACCTCAATCTCTCCCGGTCACGCACCCCGGTATCCGAATCCGTTCAGAAAATCCGGTTATTTTATCTGAAAGCGGCCCGGGTGGCCGGTGTTTTATTGTGGTCCACACTGTAACGAGGGGAGGGGAGGGGGAGGGGAAAGGGGGAGAAACGGTGGGAAGGGTGTGAGGGGAATGGGAAGAAAGGGGGATGAAAAATGGTCAATGTAAGAAGAATGGGAAGAGAGAGAGAGAGAGAGAGAGAGAGAGAGAGAGAGAGAGAGGAGAGAGAGAGAGAGAGAGAGAGAGAGAGAGAGAGAATGAGAATTAGCAAGTGGACGAGAAAGATGGGAAGACTGAAAAAAGGAGACAAAGAAGGGAAGAGAAGGAATAATGGAAAGTGAAGGTAATAAGAGGAAAGAATGTGGAATGTTGAGAGAGAGAGAGAGAGAGAGAGAGAGAGAGAGAGAGAGAGAGCAAGCAAGCGAGCTAAGAGCTAGTTATATCAGCTTGGGGAAATAGATGGCAAGTAACATTTGCACCTGAGAAAACACAAATGATGATCGTCTCTAGGCACCATGATGGTAATGCTGGTGCAGTAGTAAGGATGAATGGGAGGGTGTTGGCACCTGGAGAAGAAGTTGATATCCTTGGGGTGAAATTTGACTCCAAACTAACCATGAAGAACCATGTTGTAAATCTTGCAAACAAGGCAGCCAGGAAGCTTACAGCACTTCGCCGTATCTCGCATCGGCTTGACAGTAGGGGTTGCAAGATCCTGTACGAGGCACAAGTACGCTCACACCTTGAGTATGCTCCACTTTCTTGGTTTGCCTGCCCCCCCCTCTCATCTGCGACTGCTTGACAGAGTAGAGAACAGAGCAAGACGTCTCATCTCTCGCCTGGACCCATCCTGGATAGATCTGTCATTTCAGCAGAGCCTTCAACATAGGAGGGATGTGGGTGGCCTTACTGT